AGTTAAGTAAAGACCAAGATCTATACTTTAGGACTGTGTTTCCAAAGCCGGTCCCTGGGGACCCCAGACACTGCACGTTTTTTGCTTCATCCCAGCTCCCGATAGGAAGCTGGGAGGGAGCAAAAACCTGGACTGCTGAAGGTCCTGAAGGACTGGGTTGGGAAACACTGCTCTAGGCCATGCTTTGACCGAATGAAAGAGTTCAGCCACAGATAATGTTTGTCTTAAAGGTACAGCTGAAAATATTTGTATTCATTTTTCACTTTTATTATCTATTTTTAATGCCTACCTTTTAAACGTGGAAAAAGTAGAGTGATTCTCCCACTTCAATGTGACTCTAAAATAGCATCATATTAAACACAAAATTTTACGGTATTTTAAGATTAATTTTTAAAGATGTGCTCGTTAGAACTTTTTTGCCAAAGTACAGTTCTGTCCAGCTCTTCACTTGATAACATGCCCCACATTGTGTTTTTCTGAAAATTTCACTTTTTGGGGGGATTCCTGGATCATTTCACCTTTCGTGAAACAATATGGAACAATCTTCATCAATACATACATAAAGTGAGTAAATATTTTCAACAATAGAGCACAGCTACAAAGTAACCACTGTGACCGCAGAATGACATAAATTTAATTTTTGTTTTCCATAACTGGAATGGCACATTAGCCAATTACTGGATTCCTCTTCGATGCCAAAAATTGAGGGGTGTGGACTCACACGCACATCTGTGGCGGCTGTCACGTCTTGTCACTCCGCAAACCACAGGTTTCATTAAGCAGCAGTATACATCACTGAGAAAACAGATCATGTAAGCTGGCCGACCGAAGGCAAGTCAGCCTGCATTCTCTGTGCCTCTTCACCTCATATATGTAACACGTTTCAGCAGGGGTCAGACCCGAGTCCCTGCTATGGAATTGTTTTCACTGTGACGGCACATTGGGTGCAATTCTTTTGTTGCTGAATCAAGGAAGGACTCAGTGAAAAGGTGCAGGTTCTGTCCTCAGACTTTCAGGTTCTCTCTGTGTTGTGTGGAGTTCCTCAAGGCGTTTCCTCCCACATGCCAAACACAGACGGTTGGGTGAATCATCATCTCAGTAATTGCTCTTAGTGTGACTGTGAGTGTGTTCTGTGAGGGTCTGGCATTCTGTACACGGTGTACCTCAGCCTTGTGCCCTGTGCTGCCTGGAAAAGGCCCCCGGGGCCCACAGCAATGACAGGACATGTGGTTGGAAGATGAATGGATGGATGGTTTATAATTCTGAAAACAGGCAAATTTAACCAGAAAGAGCTTTGAGTAAAGTGATAATGATTATCTGTTTGATTCTCAATATTATGGAGGCAAATACACACAAATATATTAAATGATAGACTCTTAACATATATTGGCAGCTATCATTCCATTTCTGACATATTCAACGGTATTTATTGTAAATTACCGCATTTGGGAGAAACATTGTTACGGGAGTAAGTGGATTTTTTTGAACACCGAAAGCAGATTTCCCTAATGAGCAACTGGATTTGCAAAGTATTCATGCTTTTTTTCGTTTCGCATTTTGTGCTTGAATGGATAATGTCCCCTTGTCTGAGTGGATTTGCATATTTTTTTGCGCTTAATCCTGAAATTAAAGTGATAACTGAACACTCCTTATGTGCAGTTTTGCCTCTTTAAGCCTGAAATACACCAGTACAATAAGACATCTGTGTAATTCCTACATTATGCAATTGTATACCTTGCTGGTGCAACTTTACCAGATAACTACCTTGCTGCTTCAGGTAAGGCAGCATTTAAGTATGGCCTGAGTTCATCAGCTGTTTACTCCTCAGGTGTAGCACATGGCTTCCACCAAGGTGGAATCTGCATTCTTTTTTGCTGTTAAATACATGCCTTATCTAAAGCACTGCAAAGAATTACATTCCCAGATTCTGTAGGTTCAGGCACAATGTTGGTACTTGTACAGTGTTATCAGGTCACTCACCCTTGAATTATGGTTCATGGTGACACTTTTCTGACACGTGTAAAGTATTTGCTGGGGCTTGTGAAGTATGAGTGGTTGTGCTAGTGAGCTGGGTTGCACACTTTGCTAAATAAATAATGCTACGTGTACAATAATGTCACTTCTAATCTTAGGTTGTCATAAGATGTGCTAAAATATTCAAGGTCGCATGACAAGGGAAACATGTAAATGTACTTTACTAGCAGACTACCTGCTCTATAAATGAGCTTAACTAGTCGTCTTTCCACTTGGTCTTTATCTCATCGCTGGCTCTTCTTTTAGCCTAAAACGGGGGAGATGGCAAGGCAAGCCATTTATCTACATTATCAGTTGTTTTCAACAAGTCAGTTACTGATAAGTCCGTGAGAATACATTAGCAAACACGGCCGGCCTGTATGTATGATGTAAAACTCATCCCTGTAAGTGAAATCCTTCTGCTGACAGGACAGCCAGATGTTCCCTCACTGCTGTTTAAATATGAAAAAGCTTTTACTTTATTTACCTCTAACAAAGGGACTGTGAAAATTATGCACACACAATATACAGACAAACACCATCTCGCAACTGACAAGGTGCAAATGTACATAATGTGTGTGTTTGTGTTGCTATATCTTCTTATAGATCTTTTTCTTTGATCCTTCACTGTTACTGCTTGCTACTTCTTGTTTAAAAATGAAGAATATGAGAGATTACGATGAGCTGTCATAATGAGGTATCTAAGACAATAAAAACAGCAACAGTCTCTCCCTGTGTCGGCATTTCCTCAGTCGGAACTGCAGCCTCAGTTCTGTCTTCATAACCACCTATGCAATACAGGGCTGCGGCGTGAGTCTGGGGTCTGTCTCAGGAAGAACGGAGCACACCGCAGCAAAACACCCCGGACAAGATTCGCGTCCATCACCAGGCACATACTTGCCCGCTATTGGCAAACTGAGCTAGTGATTCACCTCTCCACATGTTTCAGGAATGTGGGAGGTATCTGACAGTGTTATAGGGACACTGTGCAATTTACACACACAGCTTTGGCCCAAGGCCCTCGAGGTACCAGACCATTATTCTGCCTCAGTGCTGCTCATGAAATCTAATTAATAGACATTCTCAATAAACTGCTTGCTTCATTGAATTTAGTGAGCTTTTGGGAATAAAACAATGCATTGCAAATACTGTGTCCATGCTGTTTATTCCTTTCCCCACACCTCTGTCTAAACTAGAACACAAAACGCTTTATTAGTCGGCTGGCTGTATTATTAAGGTGTACTTTATTAGTGGAATTTGTTACTTTAAACGAAGATGACTAATATCTGCGCCATAGCAAAGTGTGAAAGGCAGACAAGGCCACAGAACTCTGCAGTCACCAAGTCCTTGTCATTGAAATACACATTTAGTCTGAGGCCAGATAATCAGCTGGTTGTGTCATCCGAGTGTCTCCACATTTCACAGTCTGTTAACTGTGTCCCTACACCTCACACCACTGGGGGGTCGTAGTGCCCCCCCCCCTCCCCCATCCTTCCATTACCGTGGAATTAAACTCACAAGAGTCACTGTTGTTTAAAACACCAGCATTTGCACTGATTTCCCTTTAGAGAGGCACTGGATGAACCCCAGTGACTCCGGTTTGAGACCGTCTGATTCAGCCCCCTCCCCCGGGAAGACCAATAACACACTGTCATCATTTTCTTTCGGTACGTGCGGATGAGCGGATGAGGCATGACAAGGTTGGCCTGTGTGGCGGTGTCAAGAGACCAAACACGGCGAAACGAGACGAGACAGAGCGCATTACGCGCAGACGAGCGAGGGCAGACACATCTGCAGTAGTTACTCAGGCCGTGCCAGTGGATGGGTCTGTGAAGGTACCATTGTCTTAGGCAGATGCTTTATGTCTGCGCAGAGTCCCCCTGAGCCGGAAACTATTTACAGCAATTATTTGCAGTCTTCGGAAGATCTTAGTCCTGCCAGCAGCTCTGTGGCCGACCAGTCTCAACATATCAACACTGTTACCCACATCCTTCCTGTGCGTACATGTACCAAGTAATGCGAGATTAGAGACGTTTATACGACATCGCTCAGCCGACTTGACACTATGACCCGAAATGTAAGTGCATAACCTCAGAGTGAAGGTGTTCAATAAAATATCTGAGGGAAAAAAACTACCAACTGATATAAAAAGACTGCAGGAGAGAAAACAAATGACGACTCAAAATCCTATATTAAGAAACTGCTGACTGCAGGATTGCGATTTACTTACTTTTCCCTTCAACATCTCATACAAATAGCCCTAATTCAAACTGACACTATAAGCACAGTGTGTTGGTCCAAGAACAGCCTTACAGCACCAAATCTGTTTTCTGAGATCCTTGATAAATATTGCTAAATTGCACAAATTACAAGATTGCACCCAATCTGCCGTCTTAGATTTTGGTTTGCATTTACCTTCCAAAAAAACCTCTCCTGGACTACTGCTGCATGTTCTCCAGCACAGTTTTACAAAATAATAATTTCCATCACCAAGAATTACGCTGCAATTGACCAGTGTTTAATGCTTCAACGCAAACACGTGACCCACTCCTTAAGAGCAATAATGCGCGATGGTGTCTTAAAGTAATCAATAAAATTTGGTTTTGCCAGTCAAGTAAGTCCTCGCTTACTTTGTGCATTTAAATACAGCGCTGTTTCATAATTGTTTAATTTATTCAACCGCAATAAATAAAATATATTTTGTTTAAATCCGTAATAGTTTGTACATATTTCCTCACTACTTACTGTAAGAATTTTGGATATGGGCCCTTGACTAGAATAAATACTATATAGTATGAAATTTATTTATAAAGTTGATTAATCTCAATTTCCAGGAAAATAGCTCAATGCCATATATTATACAATCCAAAGCAGCTAAGTGGCATATTTGGATTTCTTGCGATATAACGACTTGCATTTTTTTTAGCCAAACTTTTTTTTAACGTTTTCAACAATTTTTCATGGTTTTCTCATATAAATGTCATTACCTTGATAATGTTCTCGAAGATAGTGTCCCGAAACTCCAGCAACGCTTTCTGGCCGAACTCCTTCCCGTGTATAATCCTCATTTGCTTCAGAAAGGTGGACTTGCCGCTCTCCCCGGCTCCCAGCAGTAGTATCTTGACCAGGCGCCGGATAGAGCGCCTTTCGCGGGCCAGCATGGCGTCGATCTCCCGGCTCTTGAGCCTCGCCTCTCGCTCCTGGTTCGCATCCCGACCCCGGCTTCTGTCTTTGCTGCCGTTTCGCTCTCCCCTCGTCTCGGCCGGCAGCAAACACCGGCTTAGTCTACGCACAACTCCAAACATGGTTTCCATTGATGAGCACTTTTTATTCAGTGATCCCTGTGCATCTGTACTCTGTTCAAATTTCAATCATTTTTTTTCGTGTAAAAGTGAATACATTCGATTCCAGTCCATGGATCACTTTGAAAAGAATCCCTTTTTACTAAAAAAAATCACCCTGATCTCATTACGGTCATGTATCGACAAAGTGTAACGTTACACTCTAAAGTCCTGTGCTTTATATTTCACAAACAGCCAAACTAACCAGTACAGATGATTTTGCAAAGATATATAATTGGATCAAATATTTCCAAACGATAGACTACAGAATGAGGTATAAGCTTTAACAGAGTATAAATCATAGGTATTAAACGAATAAAACGCAATCGACAGCTTTTGCACTTGATAAAAACCTTGACAACTCCGGCTGTAGGGAATGACTTTTCCTCACCGCCTTGCTCCGCACACATGGGATTATCGGAACGGTCCAGGACGGGACGGGACGGGGCAGGACGTTCCGCTTCTGGGAAACTCCGGGGGAGGCGGCCGTGGGCGGGGCGGCGCCTCCACACTGTATATGAGAACATAGAAACGCTCCCAGGCTGATCTGCCTTAAATTAATGCTTAAAGTTTTAAACTATATATATCTCTAAATCAAGTAATTATGAACACTTACGTTAAATATACTCTTGAGGTAAAATGAGCTAAAAGATTTTGTCTTTTGGATTTTTTTTTTTTTTTTTAAGGGTGTGGGTTTCGGGCGAAGTTATACGGATATGTGGTTTTTGGGGCCACAGCTGCTTTCATTCGGTAATGAACAAGCTATTTGGTTGCTGAAGTTTTCACTCTAAAAATGAGTAAACAAATATTGTGAAATAAGAAGTGAATGGATCTGGTGCTCTTTAAGATGCAAATAATTGATGGTAACTTCAGGTCATCCTTTTTTGGTTGCGTTTTGGTTGCAAAGAGCGCTTAATATTAGCGATCAGGGGCATCGGAAGGGTATGGATTCAGTGGGCTCAGCATTTTATAGGGTTCCCAAAATGTACAGCCCCCCAGGGGCACAGCTAGAAAGGGCGGGGGGGGGGGGGACGACGCTCCCAGGCAGATCAGCGTTTCTATGTTCTCATATACAGTGTGGAGTTTCCCAGAAGCGGAGCGTCCTGCCCCGTCCCGTCCCGTCCTGGACCGTTCCGATAATCCCATGTGTGCGGAGCAAGGCGGTGAGGAAACGTCATTCCCTACAGCCAGAGTTGTCAAGGTTGTCAAGGGGGGGGGGGGCTGTACATTTTGCCTGGGAGCGTCGTCGACGTCGTCGTCCCCCCCCCCCCGCCCTTTCTAGCTGTGCCCCTGGTTGCCATAAACTATTTTAGGCCTGTAATATTAATGGAAATGATCAGTTAAGAGTGTAAATGTATATAGCCGCCCCCTTTTGCGATCTCCTCGGGTGCCGTTTGATTAGGGGGCGCAAAAGAGTGAGTGAAAACAATCAGAAATACTTCTGGCTGCATTCCATAAGATTACAGTTATTTACACCAGTTTTAATATTTCACCGATTGTGAAACAGTCTCCAGTCAGATACCCTATGATACTTAAATGTTTTTCATATAAATAAATTGACAAAAAATGTTTCTGCTGCTCTGGGTTGGGGGTGCTAAGCACGATCTCACCTAGAACATCTGAAAACACAGGCTTGGTCCTAACTGTACATATCTTATTAGTATTTGCCGCTGTGGTGTGTTGCTGACCTTGCTAGCTGGAGAGTTAACTAGCATCTGTGTGGGGCGGCAGTGGGGCTGAACTGGCCATCTGGCATACATTCCCAGTGGCCACATGGGCTTGTGGGCCTGCGATATTTATTGTGGGGGACCGCAAAGTCCATTTTTCATTCCAGTCCCGCCCTGGACTGCACCTAGATCCTACAAAGAAATTTACATAATTGACATGCGTTGTTACATAATATTTGTCACAGCTCTGGAAGTAGGAATTCTGGTTTTCAAAATCTGACCTGGCCTGTGTGATCGACCAGCAGGTTTGCTGACTTAGGTTAACTGTACCCACAGCAATTTAAACTTACCTACTGCTCAGCAAGGTGGATCAATGTTCTTAAATCCCATATAAAACAGGTAGATAAAATCTAGTAATAGCAAGTCAATTTGTAATGTGGTTCGCAAGTAATGCGTCAAACCTTGTAATTAATTTCTTTGTCTGGTCTGGATACTTTGTTTAGCCCTGTATCTTAAAAATAATAATCCTTCATTTGCCATTTGCACAAGTACATTGGAATTCTTCCCTTCGCCTACCACATCTTGCTCTCCATAGCTTGGGGGGGTCACAGTACAGGGTCCTTGGAGCTGGGGGTTAAGGGGACTATTCTGCCAAGTTTGGGACTCAAAGCTGTCACCTTTCAATCGTAGGCTCAGAGACTTAAGCTCAGCCACTCATTATCTACACCTAGACCCCAAATTCTCTTCCATCCATCCATGCATTGCGTAATCTTTGTAAGGAATACAATGCAGAAACTATAGGTTGATTTCAATTTGGCCTTGACTGATGTTCATGACAGAGAAAGACAATGGAAAGTTATTGCTGCGGTGCTGAAATCTATACTGGTCACCAAACTGCACCCTTGAGATCATTTTGATGATTGATTGATATTTCCAGTTGTAGCCATGGGTAAGTTTATCTTTCTTTTATCCTAGCTGTTTTGGATAAAAGACACAGATAAACATTAAAATAATTTTAGGGAAATAACTCACCTGGACTCCAAAACCCAAAATATATTATAGCTTGCTGGAAAACTAGTTGTACACACAGTTATGAATGAAAGCCATTGAGTTGCCAATGCTTGGGTAATTAATGCTTGACTCCAATTAGTTTTGATTAATATTTTGTCCCACGAATCATTTCAAAAGATAACATTTGTCTACCTGTAAATTAGCATGCCTAACTGGTGTGAGGTGAAATTACCTGCTACTGCCACTTGGTGGTCAAATTAGAAGTGAGTAATTCATTGGCAAAGCACTCCTGTTTGCATTTCAGGACACGGTTTAACTGGAACCTTACAGATTTTAAACTTGGCCTTTTTCTCAGTTTTGCATTCAGCAATTTAATATTTAACCCCTTTCACTAATAAAAATCTTTCATGTATCATGCAATGCTTTGAAGTTTAATGTGCAATATTATGATGGTTGTGAAGTGCTGGAAACATTTTCTGCATACTAGTGTGCATCCTGAATATACCACCATATTTCTATGGTTTGTGCATGTGCAGTAGCATGATAAGGAAGAACTTCATTGAAACCTTCAGAAATGAAGGTAACAATTCATATTTCATGAAATTTTACCTTTATTTCAAGCTGTGAAATTCCACAAATATTTAAATATTCAGTTTATAGAACTGAACAAATGTGTCTTTGACTTCTAGCCATTAATCCATCTACCTACCTATCAACAGGGGACACAGACCGAGGTTTCACTAAGAATGCAGTGATGAACAATCATGGGGGGAAAAAACCCTGAAAATCATCTAATGTGAACTGATAAAACTTTATTAACAAAAGCCTGACAAACGGGCTTGACTTTGCCCCCCTCCACCCATGTGCAGATGCATTCCGTAGCCCATGTATCATCTATATATATGAATATATATGCCAGGCAGCATTGGGCCTAAGACATTTATTTGCATTTTGTGCAACAGTACATAGGAATTCTTGTTCAAACTATCCAGTCAGTAACCGGATTAGACAGAACAAAACAAGACAAAGGCACTTACAAACATCAAAGCAGACATATGACTGGTACTGTACAGGCGTGTATTCATGAAATTAATATGAATTAATTTAATTCTGAAACAGAAGATATGACTAAATAAGTTTTAAATTGAGTGATATAAATCCTATAGGCGACGCAGGTGATTGCCTGGGGCACCGACTTCTGAGGGGGCACCGACTTGCCAGGCGACTTCACTTTGCCTCAGGTGGGGGGCGCTGGTGCTCATGCTCGCCTAGGGCGCCACGTTGGCTAGGGCTGGTATTGATGTGAATATGACATAGATGAAAGAAAGCAGAATATGGCACAGTGAAGTGCAGTGTGCATCCATAGGCGTGCAGTGTTCTCGCGCCGTACTGAGTCGGCCAAACGCAGAGGGGCACAGACTGTTGTTAAACCAGTCAGTCGCAGTCCGGAGGCGAATATATTTTCAGCCAGACCTCAGTTTGGAGAACGGTCTGTGTCCCAGGTGAGTGGAGGCTCACAGGGTTCTGCGCGGGTTCTGTTTCTGCAGGAGTTATTATAAATGGACCCTACTGAAGGAAGAACAGAGCCGGTGCCGCGTTACACATGTTTCACAAACTTATTTAGTGATTTATGCTCCAGATCTGCAGTGTTACCGTACCAACAGGCTGCCGGCCTTCTCATTAGGACGCTCTCAATAGTACTGTGGTAAAAGTTCACTAGAAACCATTTCTGAATCCCACACTTCGTTAAATTAATGAATCACCTCAGGAAATGGAGTCTGGCTGGGGTGCCCATCAATTCACACACACACACACACACACACACACTGTGGGGAAAACTCTAATCCCAACATGATGACCTTAACCTCTACCCAGCGTTAACCTTAACCATACAGTAAGTATGCAAACAAAATACGAGACTTTTGGCATTTTTACTTTCTTGATTGCATTCACAGATCTTTGTGGGGACCTGAAAAATGGTTCCCACAACATCAAAATAACAGGTTTTTATCACAATGTGGGGGACATTTGGTCCCCACAATGTAATATAAACCTAATCTAGACACACACACACACACACAGACATACACACTACACACTGAAAGGAAAAAGTACCAATTTGAACCTTTGAGGGTACAATTACTTGTCACTGGGGCTGTACCCTCAAGGGTCTGCCAATTGTACCCTAGCAGTAGGTAAATGTACCTTTTAGTGTAGTTTAAAATACAGAAATGGATTCTAAGGAACATTTTTGTATCACTGAGGGTACATTACTGTTACTTTTACCTTGGGGAACAAAACTGTACCAGGGCTGCACTCTTTTTGTCTGATAGTGCCGGTGATTTAGAGATGCCGGTGATTTAGAGATGCCGGTTAACCTAATTGCATGTCTTTGTGCTGCAGGAGGGACTCTCCATAACGGGAGCAGGGGGGGAAATCGAACCCCCAGCCCCTGTTCTGTGTAAGGTAAGTTCTGACTTCCTGTCTTATCAGTGGTTTGTCCTGTCCTGCACAGACATTCTTCTGCATTTGTCATATAAAATCGCTGCACACTGTTGCTTTATGGGGTAAAAAATGATTGAGTCACAGAGAGACACACTGGGCTGGATCTGAAAATAGCTTTCACTAAAATAATGGCGAAAGCAGTATTCAGCTTCAGACCTTTTGAAGAGTGACAATAAATGTAATTTTATCTAATTTTATATGTTTGATATTACATATATTATGTAACAGAATTGTATTAGAAGAGAAAATCACACA